TCGGCGGCGCTCTCCCATGAGTCGGGATCGCAGCATCCCCTGCCAGCCGCTCACCGCCTCTGGGAGCCGCTGGGCTTGGAGACCGCAGCCCTTCCGGGACAGCAGCTGTGACTCCCCCCCAGCGCAGATTTCGGGGCAGCTCTCTAGAAACTCGCTCTAAAGACGGAACCGCCACAGCACTCAAGTACGTATTTGAGATTCGCCCAGTTAATTGGGGGACTTGCTGAAAAGTTGGCACACTGGGAAGCGTCGCTCCCGACATTGACAACTTTGAGTGTGGGGTTTTCCCCCCTCGCCGCCTCGCTGCCGCCTTGGTTGCTGAGAGGCGGGTGGGTTCTGATCTGAAACTTTTCCCCGGTAGCGGACCCCCGGGGATCTCTGGAGCTAGTGGGATTCCAACCCCCACCCGAAGGGGCGAAAAGCCTGTAACAAAGAGGACCGGGATGTGTGCAGTCGCAGCTCCGGAGATGTAATTCAGGGTATTTCAGCTCTAGTTGTCATGGTAATGATGCTCTCGGCGGCGGCGGCAGCAGCGGCGGCGGGGAGTTGCTGCTCCGGTGATGAACGGCAGTAATTTTCCTGCCTTTTAACTAGGATTGAACATAGGGGCTCCGGTGGTCCAAGTTCATACACCCGAGAGTGACTCCGAGCGGGTTGACCGGGAGGTAGCTTGGGAGGGGAAAGGGGCCAGGGCAGCCGCGGCCGGAGTTTGCAAAGGCGCTCGGAGGATCGCAGGAAAAGAGGGCATAATTGTAGGAATGCGGCTTATTGTATTGAAATGAGCCTGGGGCTCCACCAGGCACGTCTGCCCGGCGTCGCCGACTTGCCCGCTGACACTTTTCCCTCCGGAGGTGAGCGGGTGTAATTGCGGACTCCCGCACTCCGACACGCGTGGGGACGGTGTCCCTCTCATCCAGGCTCGGCTCGGTGTGAGAAAGGCATGTTTTCCTCTTAACTGAGAGAACTCGCGCATTTGGAGAAGTTGCTCCGAGTGTTTTAATAGAATTGAAAGTTCTCGGTGGAGAGGAGAGAGCGGTCGTGCCAACGCAGCCTGCGGAGACTGGCTTCCCAAGGCTCCTCTCGAACCTGCTGGGACTTTGGGGCAGTCGTGAAGTTTCAGCATGTGTCCCTTGATTCCAAAGAACGTGCTTCCGGGCGCCGAGGCTTTGCCTAGAATAGATATTGCCTCTTATTTAGCCTCCATACTCCAAAGGGAAGAGCTGGCTGCAGGGAGGTTGGTGATCAGAAATCGCGGGCCGTTGGTTATCCCAGAGCCTTGGGGTGCCGGGAGAGACACACATAGGGCGCCTGTGTGGTCACTTCATCGCAAATTCCATCTTCTTTTCCCGCGACAAAGAAATCTTTTCTAGAACTAAGTTTGGGAAAGAGAAACCTGCCCAACGCGGCTACCGGGCACAATGAATGAAGTTAGAGTTTATTCCGAGTTATCGTAGCTGAACAAGATGCTCCCGTGTGAGTATCAAAGACTCCTCGGGCCACAGCAGCCCCTGCACCCGCTCCCTCCCCCCGCGCCCACCCACTCCCCTCCCGGGACCTGGCGCTCGCAGGATTTCTCCCCGCGGTTTGTCTTCTCTCCCTCGGTCTTTCTGAGAATTCTGTCTTTCCCATTCTGTCGGTCTCCTCCACGCCTCCTGCCCCCGCCCAGCCTCCGCCCCCGCTCCCCAAGGTTGGAAACTCCGCGGAGGGGCCGGGGTCACAATGGTGCGTTTCACGGTTTCCTCCACTCGCTTCACCACCGGGAGGGGAACACGGGGGTGTTCCTTTCGTCTGCCCACGAGAAAGAAAGGGGCTTTGACAGAGGTAGTTATTTCTTCCTAATTTACAACCTCGAGGCTCCGTGCTCCCGGCCCCGCGGCCGCGAGCAGGAGCCACCGAAAGTGTTTCCAGGCGCGGAGGCTTTGCCTAGGTAACCGGACGTTTGGGAGGGCGCGGGGGGAGAGAACCGAGGGGCACTCGGCTCAGCTGTAGGAAACGTGGTGTGGCCCTTCCCCTCCAGCAGCGCTGCTCCAGAGACGCGACCCTCATCCACCGAGTCAAAGGCCGGTCCTTAGAGAAAGGCTCCGCTGGAAAGGCCCCGGGGCAGGGCGGGCAGGCGGGCACCTCCTGGGAGAGGTGGTGGGAGGTTTCTGGAGACCCCACTGAAGATTGGGGGCGGGGGAGGGAGGGCTGGAAGCACCAGCTACAGCCGTGGGAAGATCC